AAAAAAAATGACACAAGTGACCAAGATTGTAAACTTCGTGAAACACAGTAACCAAATTGACTAAATTGAAAATACAGTGACCAAAATAGATTTAAAGTATAAAGACAATGATGAAAAAGGTTTTTAACCCATTTTTTATTAGGTAATGCTAGGGAGACCTTCTATTTAAACTAGGGGTGGAAAAAATATCGAGAGTACCGAAACCGAATCGACACAAATACCAATTTTGAGAATACTATAAAATTCGGTACAAGAATCGATATGAAACCTTGATTTTTTTAGTAAGACTGAATCAAACCGAAATATATATAAGTTTTAATTTTAAATATAAAAAATAATATATATATATATATATATATATATATATATATATATATATGTAACTATTAATATCGGCTGCAAAATTGGTTGAAAGTTAATCTCAACCATTGGGTTGCAAAGAAAAATAAAAGTTTAAAATTTTAAACTTCAGTTTTCCGTCGACTTCGAATGAAACCACTCCACTTCTCTCACCCTAGTTCTCTCTGCTTTCTCCGTCGCCCAGCCACAACGCACCACCACCAGATTACTTAGTCACGCAGCCACCACCAGGTCTGCCACCATGACTTGATCTGGTCTTTCGATCTGGCTGTTCCAAGTTCCAACATCGGTTGTTGTTTCTTCACACTTCAGTCACCACCACTCATCCCTTCCTTTTACAAACTTCACACTCTGCTGCCTAGCCACCACCCCTACGGATCCATAACTTCTCCCTGGTCCTCACGAATTGGATTGCTAAGCTACTGTCTACAAATCCTAAAATTTTTTACTATCTACAAATCCTAAAATTTCAAATCAGGGTTAGTTTCTCAAATTGGGGATTAATTTTCGATTTGAGGTTTTAAGTTTGGAGAACTATTTCTTTTATTACTGATTATATGATTATATTTATATCCTAGATGTTTAGCTTGACAACTATTTCTGTGAAACTGGGGATTTGGGGATTAAATATAGTGTTCCATCAGAACTCCAAAGTTAAGCTAGTTTGCGCGAGAGCAATCCTAGGATGGGTAACCTACTGGGAAGTTCTCGTGTGAGTTCCTAAAAACAAAATCGTGAGGGCGTGGTCGAGGCCCAAAGCGGACAATATCGTGCTACGATGGAATCGAGCCTGGGATGTGGTGGGGGCCTGGGTCGGGATGTGACAATTAATGATTGGATCATTACTTAAGTGTTGGTTAATATGTATATTTTCTTTTAATGACATATCACATGTTTTACAGATGCAGTCTAAGAATTTGGTCTATCTAGTATTATTCTTGGAGAAATTAGGTTCTCATTCCTCTTTTTGTTACTCAATTTATTAAAATCTTATTTGTAACATCCCACATCCCCAAGGGGAATGGATCATGCAAGCCTTATATGTATATTTTCATCTCTACCTAGCACAAGGCCTTTTGGGAGCTCACTGGCTTCGGGTTCCATCGGAACTCCGAAGTTAAGCAAGTTCGCGCAAGAGTATCCCATGATGGGTGACCCACTAGGAAGTTCTTATGTGAGTTCCTAGAAACAAAACCGTGAGGGCATGGTCGGGGCCTAAAACGGACAATATCGTGTTACAGCGGACAATATCGTACTACGATGGAGTCGAGCCTGGGATGTGGTGGGGGCCCGGGCTAGGATATGACAATTTGGTATCAAAGCCAATCCCTGGCCGGAAGTGTGCCGATGAGGACGTCGGGTCCCCTAAAGGGGGTGGATTGTAATATCCCACATCGCTGAGGGCAATGGATCATGTAAACCTTATATGTATATTTCCATCTCTACCTAGCACGAGGCCTTTTGGGAGCTCACTGGCTTCGGGTTCCATCGAAACTTCGAAGTTAAGCAAGTTTGCGCGAGAGCAATCCCATGATGGGTGACCCACTAGGAAGTTCTCATGTGAGTTCCCAGAAACAAAACCGTGAGGGTGTGGTCGGGGCCCAAACTAGACAATATCATGCTACGGCGGAGTCGAGCCCGGGATGTGGTAGAAGCCCGGGCCTGGATGTGACACTTTGGTATCAGAGCCAATCCCTGGCCAGAAGTGTGCCAGCAAGGACGTCGGGCCCCTAAAGGGGGTGGATTGTAACATCTCACATCACTGAAGGGAATGGATCCTGTAAGCCTTATATGTATATTTCCATCTCTACCTAGCACGATGCCTTTTGGAAGCTCATTGGCTTCGGGTTCCATCAAAACTTTGAAGTTAAGCGAGTTCGCGCGAGAGCAATCCTATGATGGGTGACCCACTAGGATGTTCTCATGTGAGTTCCCAGAAACAAAACCGTGAGGGGCGTGGTCAGGGCCCAAAACGGATAATATCGTGCTACGGCGGAGTCGAGCCCGAGATGTGGTGAGAGCCCGGGCCTGGATGTGACACTTTGGTATCAGAGCCAATCCCTGGCCGGAAGTGTGCCGATGAGGACGTCACCCCTAAAGGGGGTGGATTGTAACATCCCACATCGTCGAGGGCAAGGTATCAAATATCGATGATATCGGAAATATCGGTAGTTCAAAAACACGGAAATTTCGATGGAAATATCGGGATATTATCGATATCGATAAAAATTGAATTAAAACCACGGAAATTGTAAGAAAAACTTGGAAATTTTTATTGAAACTTTGTAGGATGTTTATTTAGTCAATTATCTATTAGTTTATCACAAACAATTGGAAGGAAATGCATTGCATGATAGATATAACTGATTTAAGTTGATTATATAGCGAGCTGGCAAACATTGTGAGTGTAGAAAATATGTAGTAATTAATGAAAAAAGTTTAAACACACCATAATCATTTATATATAATGAATTAGTACAATATTTTACACTTTATAGATTGCATGGTAAGATACATGAGTGACTTAGCAAGGTCTAAAATATCGATGATATCGGAAATATTGGTAGTCCAAAAACAAGAAAATTTTGATAGAAATATCGGGATATTATCTATATTTTAGACCATGGTTGAGGGGAATGGATCCTGTAAGCCTTATATGTATATTTTCATCTCTATCTAGCACGAAGTCTTTGGAGCTCACTGGCTTCGGGTTCCATCGGAACTCCGAAGTTAAGCGAGTTCGCGCGAGAGCATCCCATGATGAGTGACCCACTAGGAAGTTCTCGTGTGAGTTCCCAGAAATAAAACCGTGAAGGCGTGGTCGAGACCCAAAGCGGACAATATCGTGTTACGACGGAGTCGAGCCCGAGATGTAGTGGGAACCCGGGCCGGGATGTGACAATTTGGTATCAGAGCCAATCCCTAACCGGAAGTGTGCCGACGAGGACGTCGGGCCCCTAAGGGGGTGGATTGTAACATCCCACATTGCCGATGGTAATGGATCATGTAAGCCTTATATGTATATTTCCATCTTTACCTAGCACGAGGTTTTTTGGGAGCTCACTGGCTTTGGGTTCCATCGAAATTCCGAAGTTAAGCGAGTTCGCGCGAGAGCAATCCCATGATGGGTGACCCACTGGAAAGTTCTCGTGTGAATTCCCAGAAACAAAACCGTGAGGGTGGTCACGGCCTAAAGCAGATAATATCGTGCTACGGCGGAGTCGAGCCCAAGATGTAGTGGGGGCCTGGGCCAGGATGTGACATTATTCATTTTCAATTTTTGATCAAGATCCTTAGGTATTAATAAACGTCATTTATTATTTCAATAATATTTTTTTTATTCCTAAATATATTCATTTAGTGTTAGAAATGTTACATAAATTTTTTATCATATATTTTTATTTTTAGTTTGTATCCATTTTTATTTTGCAACCCTTTTTATTTTGTACCAATTTTCTTTTCACTTTTTATTTGTACCCATATATTAATTTCTTTTTGTGCCCATATTTTTTAAAGTTTTATTTGTATTTGTACCCATATTTTTTAATTTATTTGTACCCATTTTTAATTTTGCTAAATATACCCATGCTAATTATTTGTATTTATTTTATGTTTTAAAATATATCAGTAGTTATTTTTTAAAATATGTTAATACTTATGTGGGTACATTATTTTCTTGCTATAATTTTGTGAAGAACAATATTATTCTAATATTTATTTTTAAGTATTTATTATATTTTTAAAATATTATTTGAACTTGTTTAAATTTCATAATTTGTGGGACATTATAAATGCATGAGTCAAGTCTCTTAAATGATGTTAAGGACCTCAATCAAAATAGTTAAACAAACAAGGTTTCAGTCTAACAATTAAGTTGATTAGGTACCGAAACCACAATGATAGATCTACACTCGTACATATTTGTGTAGATTTTCCCTCCCTCTCCAACCAATTAAATTTCTCCCAGCTCAATTAATTAAGAGGGGTGTTGAAATGTTGCTATAATTACTTTATAATTAATATGCATTATTTTTCTCATACACTTAAACAAATCCATTCAAATGCAATGTTAAGCATTATGCAAATCCAAAATATTGTATTAATCCTATAGCTACAAAGTTATACTATAATTTCGATAATTAAAACAAAAAGCTAGCTTATCTTATCTTGTGTACCAGTAAGTTTCTCTTACATACGTACGAGATATATATGTTGTTTAATCGGCGTTAATTGTGAGTTCATATTTTATAAATTAAAACAATATAATGTACAAATGGTTGATTACCCTGGTAGTTATATTATTTTTTTCAACTCATTGCGTTTTGAGTTCAAACACTCTTTCTTAAAAATAGAATATGATTTGTAATACAAAAACAACATAATATGCTCTCCCTATTAAATAAAAAGAAATTATATACATAAAGTGCAAAATTTGAAAATTGGTCTAAAGATATATACACTAATCGTTTGGAAAAGAACAAAAATAGTAAGAAGTCAAGATACTGCACAAAGGCTTTTTTCTTCGTGCACATGAGCGTGGAAATTTCCAACAGCTCAAAAATCTAGCTTTGAGCTGTTCCTATTTATTTCGGTAGGGTAGAGGGGAACCTTTGAGTTATTAGGGTCAGGGTAGAGGGAGCTCGAGAAGCAGATGCAATGGAGGATTTACCACCTGGATATAGATTCTACCCAACTGAGGAAGAGCTGATTTCGTTTTACTTGCAGAATAAACTTGATGGGAGGAGTGAGGACCTGAACCGAGTTCTGGACCGAATCGTACCCGTTGTTTACATTTATGAGTTTAATCCATGGGAACTTCCACGTAATTCAACATCTCTCTCTCTCTCTCTCTCTCTCTTCTTTTAATGATCACTTGTTGGATTTATGCTAGCTTTTGGCTTGCTTAGACATGGAGTTTACACCAAATTATAGCTAGTGTTTCCTTTTCATCACTTACCCTTCGACCATGCCAGTTTTAGGATAATGAATGTTGTATATATTTTGTGTAGGACACTAATTTACAGCATCGTGTACATTGTTGATATTCAATGAATAGACATAATGTTTTTTTCTTTTTGAACAAAGAATAGACATAATGTTATATATGTTTGTTTAGGACACTAATTTACGGTAGTTTTCGCACCGGTTATTTATCAATAATCACTACCCTTACTGATTTCAATTTCCATTTCTTTTATGTAATATATAAAACTAAAATACGATATATGAAGCTAGTTTGCCAGCTTAGCATGCAATTTCATGATTTACACTTTAATTCATTATTACGTTTATAATGAATTAAAATGAACTAATTAACAGAGGTTTCGGGAGAGGTGAGCCATGAAGATCCAGAGCAGTGGTTCTTTTTCATCCCAAGACAAGCGAGTGAAGCTCGAGGAGGGAGACCGAGACGACTCACAACAACTGGGTATTGGAAAGCGACTGGATCTCCGAGCACTGTTTACTCTTCCAAATCCAATTACAATCGTCCCATCGGCCACAAAAGAACCATGGGTTTCTACATTGGCAAAGCTCCCCGTGGAAAGAAAACCGAGTGGATGATGAATGAATACAAAGCCATCGAAGGTCATGCAGATCATAGTAATCACCTTTCAATGGCAGCTTCTTCATCAAACACTAGTAGTAGTACTCCTGCTCCCACGGTGAGTATATACGTACCAATTAATTTCTTAGCTCAAAATTAATATCGATGTTATAAAACTTCACGAAACATATGTGTATTAGAGAGTCAACAAGCGTGTTCAATAAAATTACTGTATTCTAAAACTTCATCAATTCAACTGGAATTTGTTGTCTAATGATATAATTAATCAAGTTGCTTTGTGTGTGTGTATATATAAATATAAAATATGGTTTCGAAAAATTACAACTGAATATTCTTGCTCATCAGCTCCGTGTTACACCATATATATTCTAAATTGGGCGCACAAAAGGACATTTAATTATTAATTTATAGAAGGGACCAAAACAAAACTGAACATGCATGTTAGTGGTGCCAATACCTATAACAAGTTAACAACTAATGAAACCATATGACAGGACCACACTGTTTTTAAGTGATTTAATTGATGGCGTACGACATTGAGTTTCAGTGCAGTTAATTATATGCATCTAAACCAATTTAACTAACTTTAACTAACTAAACTTCATAATAATTTTCGACAAAAAAAAAATTCATAATACTTCATATTATTAACTATTAAGCTGATATATGTTGGCATGCATACATGCAGTTAAGGGAAGAATTCAGCATATGCCGGGTGTACAAGAAATCGAAATGCCTTATTAGGGCATTTGACAGACGACCTCCTGGGATTGAGATGACTAGAAACCCTAGCTTAATCATTCAAGCAGCTCCTGCTCAGGGTGCAAATCATTTGGATCATGGTTCGACAACATCGAATAGGAACCCTCAGAATATGGGAGAGAGAGCAAACTTAAGCTCACTGGAGAGTTCATCCTCAGGAAACCATGGCTCTCAATCATCTCAACCAGAACAAAGTGGGTCTTTGCTAATGGCCGTTGATAATGAAGCTATTTGGGATTGGGACGAATTAATGGATAATTGGCTTTAAGGGGTGGACAAAATGGAATTGAATAAAAGATAACGTTTCCATGGAATGGAATGCAAGTGGAATAATTTGTAGGGTTTAACCGTCCTAAGGTAAAGTTTGGACTACAGTTTGGAAAAGAAAGCCAAATTCATATTGTGCTAGACTTGCCCTCACAAGTCTAACCATTCTTATGTGTTTTTTAGCATTTAAACTTGTTGTACTATAGATTAGGCCTAAAAATTTAAGTAATGTTATTCATACCATGTTTTTATATCACATTTTCATATCACCTTATTTGATGTGGACAACTATATCATTTGAATTAATCAGATTTTTAAATTTAGTTCATTATTTAATAAACTAATAATTAAGAAAACCTAGTTAATTAAATGATGATTGTGGTATACTAGGAGTCTTTCTCCTTCATTTCCTTGGGTTTTGCAAATTTTTCAAATGATGTGGCTGTCCACATCAAATGCCACCTAATGTGGTATAGAAATGTGGTATAAAAATATGGTATGAATAGCATTACTCAAAAAATTTAAGCCTCACTACTTAGTTCATGAAGTATATAAGACGGGAAGGAAACAATTATTCTATAAAATGATCCTTTACCCTCACTTTCGAATGGCAAACTTTAGCTTCTCTAGAAATAAGCCTTCATAATGTAATGTAATAGTGGAAACTGGATTGACACTAGTATGGACGTAGCCCTAACTCGGGATGAACCATCCCAACTAGGAGTGCACCACAATATATCATTATGTTTTTGTGCGTGTGTTATTTACAGTTAGATTTAGTTGGTTCAAGACTAATATGATTTTGTGCATCAGCATTTAGTGCCGTATGTGGGATCAATACGAAGAGTTATGTCGGTTTTCTCTTGATTTTTTTCACCTCCCCACACCGTAAAACTCTCACATCACTGTCCACAACGAATCCACATATTCCAGGAAACACAACCACCTTATCCTCAAACATTCATTTTCTTCCATGACTCCGACAATCAAACTGCGGCGTTTTACGAGACGGAGAATGAAAACACGTGAAAGACGCTGGGCTTCTCCCTCCAGGGACCTCGCAACGTTTCAAGACTTCGAGCAGATCGGATCCGCTCGGTCATGTGATTCGTGTGCCTTTAGGAAACCTCCACGATAAGGTGTTCTGCACCTTAACGCCACTAAAATCCGAAGAAAAGAAAAGGAAAAAGATTGTGGCCGGTTAGAGAAGAAGGAAAAAGGAATTGGGAAAGAAAGAGATGGGTTGCCACGGACGCCACCCAAGAGGGAGGGCCCGCGGCTGAAAATGAGATTAGATTGGGGGGTTTGGACGAGGGAGCGGCGCTTTATGGGATGTTTAAATACTAGTATGAACAATATAAACAAGTAGATAAACCATCTAACAAAAGTGGGCAAGACAAGACCTATATATGTTTAAATTTTATAAAATATAAGAAGCAGGCATGCTTTAGTTTACTTTTCTCTCACCGACATTTTTTAAATTCTTCCTTGTCGTTTATAGAATTGACAAAAATTATCACCAATTATCTGCAAATACGAAATATAACAGCGGAAACATGATTTTGTCATCGGTCTGTCATCTAAATAGGGGTTTGTAGCTTCATAAGAATAAAAACTAAAAAGAAAAAAAAATGACGATCTGTCATCTAAATAGGGATTTGTCGCTTCATAAGAATAAAAAGAAAAAAAGAAAAGAAAAGGAAAACAATGATGAAGGAATGAAAAGTTTAAGAGATAATAGAAGCACCAATTATATTGAAAGAAGGTCTGAGTTTATTATCAAAGTTTTTAGGTTTTCAACATTTAGTATATTAAGCTTTTTTCATCTTAAAGTTGAGACACTTTCATGCATCAAGGTTGCTGATAAATCAGGCATTAACTGGTGACGTGACATCTGCATAGACAATGATTGGATGCCACGTGTTAGTAGAAGGCCTACGTGGATATTGAAAAATAAAAATTTAAAACATTTGAAAAAAAAAATTAATTAAAAAATATGGGCCGTCCTCTCTTACCTAACCCCCGCTCCCACCCAACCCTCCTTCCCTTCTCTCCTTTGCGCCCACCCAACCCTCCCTCCCTTCTTTCCTCTGCGCCCCACCCTTCTCCTCCTACCACACCCCCCCCCCCCGCTCCCAATCCTCTTCGCCATCAAAGCCAGTCTTTGACAATCTTAGGCTGCTGGGTTTGGCTCTGCAATATCCCCAGTAAAAAATTGAATTAGAAACCCAAATCAGAAGAAAATTTGAAAGCTTTAAAAATCGGTTTGGCCGTTAAGTTGGCTCTCCACCACCGTCTTCTCAGGCTGATAGGTTTTGTTCTCCACCACTGTCAAATCTGGTAGGTGTGACTCTACCACTGTCTTCTCCAGCTCCTCCACCCACTAGGTTTGGCTCTCCACGGTCGTCAAATCTCTTTTTTTTTTTTTTTTTTTTGAATTTTTGAATTTTCAAATTTTGTTTTCTTCGAATTTTCGAATTTTTGATTTTTTTTTTTGAATTTTCGAAAAATATATATATATATATATATATTTTTTAAAGTTTTGTAGGTGAAGCTTTGGCATTAATGCTTTGTAGGTGAAGCTTTGGCATTAAAGCTTTGTAGGTGAAGCTTTTGTAGGTGAAGTTTTGGTGTTGAAGCTTTTGTAGGTGAAGCTTTGGAGTTGAAGCTTTGTAGGTGAAGCTTTTGTGTTGAAGCTTTGTAGGCGAAGCTTTGAAGTTGAAGCTTTTATAGGTGAAGCTTTGGAGTTGAAGCTTTTGTAGGTGAAGTTTTGGAGTTGAAGCTTTTTAGGTGAAGCTTTGATGTTGAAGCTTTGTAGGTGAAGCTTTGATGTTGAAGCTTTGTAGGTGAAGCTTTGAAGTTGAAGCTTTTGTGTTGAAGCTTTGTAAGTGAAGCTTTGGAGTTGAAGCTTTTGTAGGTGAAGCTTTGGAGTTGAATCTTTGTAGGTGAAGCTTTGATGTTGAAGCTTTGTAGGTGAAGCTTTGATGTTGAAGCTTTGTAGGTGAAGCTTTGGGGTTGAAGCTTTGTTGGGTACCATGAATTGATTTTGCTTCACACTATTTTGATCAAGAGTGTGTGAAGCTTTTGAGAATTGTAGTTGCCCTCCATTTGTTGAAGCTTTTGTTGGTGAAACTTTTATGGTGAAGCTTTGTAGGTGAAACTTTGTAGTGAAGCTTTGATGGGTACCATGAATTGATTTTGCTTCACACTATCTTGATCAAGAGTGTGTGAAGCTTTTGGCATTTGTAGTTGCCCTCCATTTGTTGAAGTTGTTGAATTTCCCAATTTCCTTTTTTTTTTTTTGCTAAAACTAGAAATTTGTTGAATTTCCTTTTTTTTTTTTTGGGAATACTAGAAATTTGAAAATGTGGGAGAGACAAACATATACAAATTTTGCTTACACACTGTTGAGCAAGAGATTGTGAAGCAAGCCAAATCTTGTAGTAGTCGAAGGTTTGGATGAATCATATAAATTGAATTTGCTTCGAACAGTCTTGATCAAGAGTGTGTGAAGCTTTCTACGAGTTGTAGTGTTTGCATTGTTACAGAGAAGAAATGTCTGAAGCAGATGCAAGAGGGCTGAAGAGCTTGATCTTCGTATACTATGCACTGAAGTCGTTGTTGGCTTGCAATAAGACGTTGTTGGCTTGCAATAAGACTTTGTTGGTGACTATAACTCTTGTTATGCATGAGTGCTCCCCTAGTTGAGTTGTAAAGCTTAAGGGTTTTTTATTATTTGTGAATGCTAGGAGTTTGCATGTACAAGTTGTACCACTTGTCTTCTGGTTGGTGGAATGAATGGTGAGTTGCTTTCATCACTTGGTTGGTGGTACGAATGTGAGTTCCTTCATCACCTTTCATCACATTTCATCACCTGATTGGTGGCACGAAGATGAGTTCCTTCTTCACTTGGTTGGTGGCATGAGTGGCAAGTTGCCAAATAATATTAGAGTACGGGTTGTACATTTCATCACCTGGTTGGTGGCATGAAGATGAGTTCCTTCTTCATATTTCATCACCTAGTTGGTGGCACAAATATGAGTTCCTTCTTCACCTGGTTGATGATAAGAGTGGCAAGTTGCCAAATAATATTAGAGTACGGGTTGTACATTTCATCACCTGGTTGGTGGCACGAATGTGAGTTCCTTCATCACCTAGTTGGTGAGAATAAGGGCAAGGTGTCGAGACACATTGTAGCAAGTGTCGAATGACACAAAGTATGTTGAACCCTTTCGAAGCACAGTTAGCTTATGTATGGATGTGTTGGAATGTATGATGTTTATGTTGATTGATATGAGTGATGCTTATGAATGTTTTGCTATGCATGAAGGGATCCATGCTTTCGATATTTGAACCATGTTGGTTGTAACACTTAGTATCACATACTTTACGTCAAAGTAAGCATGTTGAAGCTCTGAGTTGGAGTATAGAGGTAGGTCAGCGTAGACCAAGTGTTCCAGTACTAGGAATGCAAAAGACTCAGAAGAAGTTGTCTGAATTCCCTCTTCTTTAAACATTTGGCGAATGGCTTGTGTGACAAAAGATCTCAAACGGTTGAAGGTCAAAATATTTGTAATGTGTATGCCTTCTTATAATAGCATTTCCTTAAGTACCTAGTCCTCCACTTTGAAAGAGTGAGGCTTGGCCCCATAGTCATAATAGTCGACAGTACGTTCACCCCTGGTTGTCTTGATACGAACTTTTATCCCTCTTGTTGTAATGGGCTTGCTGAGAGTAAAAATCATTCCTCTTACCAAGAGACAAATACGTTTGGTGACTTGGCAAGTAGCTAAATGAGGCAGAAGATGATGCAATGGGTGTCTGAATGGTCAAGATCTCCTCACTTGGTAGAACTTGACTTCCACTTCCCACTTGTTGATAGGGGTTAACCATATGGGGTTTCCCTTGGTATGTCCTTACTTCAGCGGAGGCGTGGTTGTAAACCTGTGCCATCACCTTAAAGTAAGTCTTCCAAGTGTTGGCATTGATCATGTACTTGAAGAAACAATCACGTAGGCCTGCCGTGAAGGCTTTGATGGTGGTATTGTCATCTGCCGCAACGAGAATACTCATGGCTGAAGTGACCGGCATACTCTCGTAGTGACTCGTTCGGCTTCTGGCGAATAGTGTACAAGTCATCTACAAAATGTAAGCGATCGGTCTGGAAGAAGTGTTGAAAGACAAACAGTTTCCTTAGTTCCTCAAATGAGTCTACTGTCTCGGGTGGAAGACGACAATACCAGTTTAGAGC